CTTTTCATTACATTAACAATTAACAAGCAAAAATGTAGAATTGAAAGCAAAATGCCCTTTATATTAGCACCCTAAAAATGAAATGCTTAGGTAAAAATCTAAAAATATGTGTACAAGTTCTATATGAGGAAAAGCACAAAATTTGGATGAACAGAATCGAAAAACTAAACAAATCAAGAGATATTCCATGTTTACAGATAGGAAAACTCAATATTGTCAAGATGTCAGTTCTTCCCAATGTGATCTATAGATTCAATATAATCACAATAAAAAGAACAGAAAGTTATTTTATGGATTTTTACGAAGTAATTCTAAAGTTTATATGGCAAAAGACCTATAATAGCCAACCCAATATTGAAGGAGAAGAAAATTGAGAACAGACTCTTCAATGTCAAGACTAGTTATCTAGCTACAGTAATCAAGATACTGTGACAAAATAAGACAAAGAAATCAACAGGACTGAAAAGAGCGACCAGAAGTAGACCCTCATAAATGTAGTCAACTGAACTTGGACAAAAGAGAAAAGGCAATAGAAAGGAGAAAAAGCAGCCTTTTCAACAAGTGATATTTGAACAATTGAACATATACATACACAGAAATTATCTAGACATTGATCAAATATCCTTTATGAAAAATAACTCAAAATTGATCATGGACCTAAAAGTAAAATGCAAAACTATAAAACTAGAAGATAACATAAGAGAAAACCTACATGCCTTTGGGTATGATTGCCGGGGTCCAGCCCCAGCAGGATCCAGGGGAACCCTCAGGATGAACGGCGTCGGTGAGAGAAGACAGACAGACACACACACAGAGACATTGCGTAGAAGAGGTAGCTTTTTTTTTATTTTTAGGATAGCTCAGTTTTTATAGAATGAATGTTACCTACCCCTTAAGTCACCACATATTACATCAGATATTGGTTTGTGCTTCCGTCAATATTTTTTTCCCCATGTTTTTCCCCTAAGCATTCATCTAGACCGTTTCCGATTGCAGGGTTTATACTTAAATATCCCGTACATAATCTTCTTGCTTCAGTGGCCTAACATTCTCACTCTAACAAAAACAATGTTTCATAAATCTCAGGTATAGTGTAAATTCTTTGGACAATAAAACAATACATGGGAAGGGTTACAGTAACATGTTTGACATTTCTGAAAATAGTACCATGAGAAAAACCTGATATTTTTCTTTACCTGAAACCACAAAATTTCAATTTACAACAATTAACTGTTAAACAGCAAAAACACCTTTAAAGCAGCAAAACACCTCTATTAATAGTAAAATAATGGCAGTAAAACTGGTTAATATAAATCTTCTATTAAAATCCTATATACCCCATTTTCTAATTTTAAAAAAATACCCATAATATCCCATGTTGTTTAAAGAAAGGGAAACAATGAACAAATAGCAGCAAGGAAAAAGCAATAGTGAAAACCCTCTCAACCAAGGAGCAAGTAAACTAAAGCAGTATATCCACTTCTAAATCTAAATACCTCTACTCTTTTCTATTCTAGAACATTATAATCTTTTAAGCAAGCAGCCAAACTATACCTGTGGCCTTTTCTTTTATGCCTTGATGTTTATGGTCATGTCCTGAGCCAGAGCAATCTTGAGCATTTCCAAAAAGGCTTGGACTTTTCCAGCGAGGCCTTATTACTATAAATTATCATTTCCAAAAATTAATAGAAAGCCCAACAACAGTAAGACAGAAGAAAGAAAGGGACATACCAGGCCCCCGGGACAACCTCGAGGGGAAGAGCTGCCTTGCAGGTTCCTTTCTCATCCTGGCGGCTCCCAACATATGATGATCTCTTTTTAGCTATAATATCAAAGATGCAATCCATTAAAGAAATAATACAGTATACTAATGCATATATATGAAATTTAGAAATATGGTAACGATAACCCTATATGCAAAACAGAAAAGGAGACAGATGTACAGAACAGAATTTTGGACTCTATGGGAGAAGGCAAGGGTGGGATGTTTCGAGAGAACAGCACCAAAACATGTATATTATCTAGGGTGAAACAGATCACCAATCCAGGCTGGATGCATGAGACAAGTGCTCGGGCCTGGTGCACTGGGATGACCCAGAGGAATTGGGTGGAGGGGGAGGTGGGAGGGGGGATCGGGATGGGGAATACATGTAAATCCATGGCTGATTCATGTCAATGTATGACAAAAACCACTACAATATTGTAAAGTAATTAGCTTCCAACTAATAAAAATAAATGGAAAAAAAAGAAATAATAAGTTGGACTTCATGAAAATTAAAAAAAAAACTTTTACTCTAGAAAAAAACAGCATTAAGAGAATTAGAAGCAAACCAGACTGGGAGAAAATATTTGCAAAAGACACATCCAATAAATAACGGCTACCCAAAATATATATACAAAGGGCTCTTAAAACTCAATCTTAATAGATACATCATCAAAAAAGATATACAGATGGCAAATAAGCACATGAAAAAAAAATGCTCTGTACCATATACCATCAGGGAAATGCAATTAGAGTAATGAAAAATCATGAGGTACGGCTGCATACCTATTAAGATCAGAATCTGGAACACTGACAAAACCAAATGCTTAAAGGATATGAGGCAGCAAGCAACTCTCATATATTGGGAAAGACAAAATGATACCAACCCTTTGGAAAGAATTTGGTGGTTTCTTATACAACTAAATATACTGGCGCCATATGATTTAGCAACTGCACTCCTTGGTATTTGTCCAAAGATGTTGGAAAAGTCTATACAAATAAAAACCTGCACAAGTATGTTTTTAGCAACTTTATTCATTATTACCAAAATTTGGAAGCAGTCAAGACATATTTCAGTGGGTGAATGTATAAACTGTGGAACAGTCAGACAAAAATTATTATTCAGATGTATTTAAAAATGAGCTATCAATCCATGAAAAGATATGGAGGAAACTTAAATGCATATTCAGTTCAGTTGCTCAATCGTGTCCGACTCTTTGTGACCCCATGAACAGCAGCATGCCAGGCCTCCCTGTCCATCACCAGCTCCCGGAGTTCACCCAGACTCATGTCAATCGAGTTGGTGATGCCATCCAACCATCTCATCCTCTGTTGCCCCCTTCTCCTCCTGCCCTCAATCTTTCTAGCATCAGGGTCTTTTCCAATGAGTCAACTCTTAGCATGAGGTGGCCAAAGTACTGGAGTTTCAGCTTCAGCATCAGTCCATCCAATTAACACCCAGGATTGATCTCCTTTAGGATGGACTGGTTGGATCTCCTTGCAGTCCAGGGAACTCTCAAGAGTCTTTTCCAACACCACAGTTCAAAAGCATTAATTCTGTTTCACCCTAGATAATATACATGTTTCAATGCTGTTCTCTTGAAACATCCCACCCTCGCCTTCTCCCAGAGTTCACAAGTCTGTTCTATACATCTGAGTCTCTTTTTCTGTTTTGCATATAGGGTTATCGTTACCATCTTTCTAAATTTCATATATATGTGTTAGTATAATGTAATGGTCTTTATCTTTCTGGGCCTGGCGCACTGGGAAGACCCAGAGGGATCGGGTGGAGAGGGAGGTGGGAGGGGGGACCGGGATGGGGAATACATGTAAATCCATGGCTAATTCATTTCAATGTATGACAAAAACCACTGCAATGATGTAAAGTAATTAGCCTTCAACTAATAAAAATAAATGGAAAAAATAAAAAACATAAGCAAAAAAAAAAAAGCATTAATTCTTCTGCAGTCAGCTTTGAGATATCAAAAGCATCCATTTATTCGGCACTCAGCTTTCATCACAGTCCAACGCTCACATCAAATGGTGACCAGATCACACTTTGGGTTAGAATAATCCCTCTGGTTATAAGATAAAGAATGAGTCAGAATGAATTTAAAGAGGAAGAATGCGTAAGTCTCAAAGCATGTGGATGTGTTTCTTTGTAATTCTTCAAGTTTGTTCCTACATGATGTCTGAATGATTAATCCAATCAGTAGTGATTTCCACTGATGTGTTAGAAACTGATTCATTCCATTCCTTGACTTTCTGCTAGTTCCAGTAGGAAAGTGACAATGGACTTATCATCACATAGACATTCCAGAATAATTGCTGTTATTTTTTATTTTATTTCCATAGAGCAATGATGGGGAAAAAACTAGTAATTGGACTTCCCTTGTGGCCCAGTGGTTAACAATCTACCTGCCAAGACAGGGGACACAGGATTGATCCCTAGTCTGGGAGGATTCCATGCGCCTTGGGGCAACAAATCCTGTGCATCATAATTATTGAGTCCTGGCGCCCTAGAGCCCACTTTCTGCAACAAGAGAAGCCAGTGCAGTGAGAAGCCCACACACCACAACTAGAGAGTAGCCCCATACTGCAACTAGAGAACAGCCTATCCAGTGAAACTAGTAATTGTATTTATTTTTCATGTGAAGAAACTCTGCTTTGAGTGGCTATTTAATTTACAAAGCTCATAGCTAAAAGGTGGAACGCATGGCTTGAAAATTAGTTTGTAAAAGAATACTAAGCCAGTTAGGGTCACAATTTGACTCAAACATCATTTGTAAGCTAATCACAAAGTAGCAGAAACCAAGAAAACAGAGCAGAATCTCATAGTCTTGAAGGCATTATATATTCACAGGTATGTTTAAACCATATTCAGTATTTGAGACATTGTACTAGTCTCTGAGAATATAGAAGTGAGCTAGATATAGTCTAGGAATCTTAGAAAACCTGAGGCAAAATGATTGTAAGACAAGAAAAAAATAAAACAAATACATAATCTCATGTATAAAAATATAATTATACAATATATAAAATTACATACAAAACTGACTTTGTCAGAATTTCACATATTACAATAATTACAAAGTCTCGTGTTCTGCAGTCCCTACTATGCCAAGCTAAGTCATTACAGTCGTGTCCAACTCTTTGCAATCCCATCAGGCTCCTCTGTCTATGGGATTCTCCAGGCAAGAATAATGGAGTGTGTTGCCATTTTCTTCTCCAGTTCTGCAGCCCATGGGGTCACAAAAGGTCAGACATGGCTGGGTGACTGCACAAAAAGAGGAAACTGATAAGACAAACATCATATGATATCGCCTATACATGGAATCTAAAAAACGGTACAAATGAACTGATATAAAAAACAGAAATAGAGTCAAAGATGTAGAAATCAAATTTATGGTTACCTGGTGGTAAAGGAGTGGAGAGGGATAAATATGGAGATTGAGATTGAGGTATACACACAACTCTCTACAAAATGTAGAACATACTATATCTGTTAAGATCCTACTATATTGCACAGGGAATGTCACCCTAAATTGTGTGAATTTGTAAAGGGAAAATAGTCTATGAAAGAATGCACACATGTACCTGCATAGCTAATTCACTCTGCTGTATACCTGAAATAGGCAGGACGGGGGATCGGGATGGGGAACACATGCAAATCCATGGCTGATTCATGGCAATGTATGGCAAAAACCACTACAATATTGTAAAGTAATTAGCCTCCAACTAATAAAAATAAATGAAAAAAAAATTTTTTTACAAAAGAAGAAATCAAGAAATATACAAGTGAGATGGGAGAAATGGAAGTATTGGATTGGCCAAAACGTTCATTCAGGTTTTTCCATGTTTAACATGTTATGGAAAAACTGGAACACACTTTTTGGCCAACCCAATAACAGAGCAAGAATGCATTATAAATTGCTATTTCATCCTTTTTGGCACTCATGAGCACAGTGTAGCTAATGCTATAAAAATTTTAAACATTTTGTTTCTTAAAACTCAGTAATATGTAAACAGTTCTGAGATTTTGGTATCACAGCCTTCATTAGTAGAAGTATTTAACTATTTGTGATGTAAGTGGGATAAAAACAGGATATTTTAAATCTAATAAAGTTAAATAAAAAATTGGTGTATATATATATTTATTTAACACACTGTAATTTAAAACATGAACACTGAGAATAAGTGTAAAAAGCACTTTTCCAATGTTTCTAATTCTACTGTTTTAAAATATAAAATCTAAAAGTAATGTTAGTCTTGGTAATTTTTAAAAATTTTATTTGGCTACACCACATGTTAGTCATGGCACATGGGATCTTCAATTTTCCTTGCAGCATGTGGAATCTTTGTTTTCTTTTTTTTTGCCAACTTCTGTGATTTCTTGGTTTTTTTTTTTTTTTTTCTTTCTTTTCTCTGCTCTTTGTGGTAAAAAGTGTTTCGTTTTGTTTTTTCTTTCCATTGGAGTGTAATCCCACATGCGGCAACTAAAGATTCCATGTGCTGTATAGCTGATTCATTTTGTTGTACAGCATGCGGGAATCTTTAGTTGCCGCACATGGGACCTTCTAGTTGTGGCATGTGGGATCTAGTTCCTTGACCAGGGATCAAACCCAGGCCCCTTGCATTGGAAGCATGGAGTCTTAGCCACTGGACCACCAGGAAGTCCTAAGTCTTAGTGCTTCTGAGAATTTCCCTATATATTTATAACCGATACTAAGAGGATTTTGAATGGGTTAGCCAGTTATAAATTTCTCATTATCATTTTGCATGGTTTCGGCTATCATAGTTATTTTTGTGGTCCCATGTGTGCACAGAACAGTGCTATCTGTCTAACAAAAGATGAATTCATTCATATTTTGTTGTTCGGTCACTGAGTCATGTCCAAATCTTTGCGACACAATGGACGGCAGCACGTCAGGCTTCTCTATCCATTCACAGTTATCAGGTTCAAATATAAGTATCAACTCATATTATTTAACCCCTGGAGGAGGACATGAAAACCTACTCTAGCATTCTTGCCTGGAGAATCTCATGGACAGAAGAGCCTGGTGGGGTACTGTCTATAGGGTCACAAAGAGTCAGATACGACTGAAGCAACTTAGCACATACATTATTTAACACTTAGAATTATGTTCTTCCAAATCCCTATATCATTCAAGAATAGCTTACTTCTTCACTGCTAACAAATACTATAAGTGAATTTTGATGATAAAGTTTCAGCAGATCAGGCAATACAGCAGCAACTATATATAGCAACTTACAATGCATCTCTTGGAAATGGTGTGTGAAATTCCCTAAAAAGCCCTTGAAGTACTTAAAGGTATGAAGACATTACTATTTGTCTTGCTGCAAATCCATTTTCTATTTGCGTATACCCTGGAACTACTAATTCTAATGTCATTCAGGTAGGCACATTCCCCAGTTCCTGTGATGACAAATCTGAAACCAAACACAAAAATATTAAAAAGCATAGGTTAGACATCTGCATTCCTTCCTCCTCATATTCTTCCACACCCCCACTCCAGGTATTTTTAATGTGAACCAGAAAAAAGTAAAAATCTCTCTTCATATGGCTTCTTAGTACATATACATCATTTCTGTATTTAGTTCCTTTTATATTCTCTAACTCCCTACCTGAATATCAGAAGATTATCATTGCCCATCCCAAATCCAGTTATGCTGTTTACTAGTTATTTAGTGCTTGCTGTTGTGGCCAAATGAACTGCTGCCATAGGTGGAGATAAAAGAAATTTTCATATATTGAAATATAGGGAAGTCATTCTAGCTTATACATGAGTTAACTTTAATTTTAGGCCATCTGTAAAACCCTGTTTGTGGCCTATCAAGCATATATTGTACTTTTGCTTTAATGACTAAAGAAAAGGGCACATTGACCAGAAGTAAAAAAATGTATATTTTTGATCATTTATTGATTATTTTCATTGGCCTTAAATGAAGATGATTTTCAGTGTTCTCCTGACCTGTTTCGTACATGTGTGAAAATAAAAGTATGTACTTACTAGTAAATTCTTAAATGGACTTGGCTTTGATTGAGGGAAATGATTGCCCCTTTTTATTCTGTCTGCTCCAGTGTAATGGTTACAGTTAAGACCTCCCCACTGAAGTGTTCACAACCCAAGATGTGTTACTAAGTTTCTTCCAGAGATAAATTATCACAGGAGGGATTCCCTCTGGGTCCCTGACAACCTTCCTTTTAGGAATAAACACAGCAGCTGGCAGAGTGGACTGAGGGTCTGTGGATACCCATTCTTCAGTGGCTTTCCAAGACTATAGGACCCCAGAGTACCTCAGCTGTTCTCTCTACATTCTAAATACGGATTTCAGCACAGTTTAAGTCAGTGAGTGAAAGCAGAACTAAGTCTAATGTCATCATCATGCTAAAGATTTCAACTGAAAACATGCTATATAAACTTTTCCCAAAGGCACTGCTAATAAACAGAAGAGCATACAAAGGATTTCTATTTATTACATCATAGTGCAGGAAACCTTCCATGATATTACATTTACATTCCCATAAATACAACTCACACCCATAACTACATATTCATACAATAGAAGGCAGCCTAAAAACTTACGAGGCATTATATTTAGAGTTGTCTGTCCACTTCCAAGGATGATTTGATGATTCTCTGCTAAGGCCAATCCAATGGTCGGAAGAGTCTTTGTATCTTTTCAGAAAGTTCTATTATAAAACACAGAAAGCAAAAAGACATGTCTCCTTCATTTTACCCTTGAGTCCTCTTCCCCCCAGCCTTCTCTCTTTGGATGACAGCCTGGTAAGATTGAGAAGCTTAGACATTGAAGGGAGAAGACTAGTCCCTAGTTCTCAGCTTAAGTCACTCAAACATCTCTGATCCTAAATTACATTAAATTGATCACACATCCCAATTTGACTGGGAAAGTCCCAGGTTATGCCTGTGGTTCCAACATAATATTGTCACTTCCAACATGCCAACATAATATTGTCACTTTCACTCCCCAAAATGTCCCAATTTGGATGATAAATTACATGATTACCAAACTTTGTTTTTACAACGGGAACAATATATCTAATTTTAAGGTTAACCATGAGGATTACATCAGAGAACGTGTCTAAATTGTCTCACACGGTTCCAGGCAGAGGACATACCCAAGAAATATCAGGCACTAATATGCACTCCAAGCCCCCAAGTCTGCCTGGAATGGGGTTCTTCCTCTTTTTTCAGCTGTCACCCTGTGCAGCCTACATCCTTATCAGGGGCTAAGTATTTAACAAAGAACATGATCCAAAAATATACCTTACCAGCTCCTCCTCCGTTTCAAACTGAACAAGAACAGCTCCCAGTGAAGTACAGAATGTCTGACTGAATGTCCAATTCTTTGAGTCTTCCGAAAAATAAAAACACTTATACCCAAATCCAATCCATCCTTTTGGGCAAGCGACATACAGAACATGTGGGTCTGGCTTTCTGCTTCTCACTAAAAGTTGGACAGAAACACTGCAGCATATCAAATAAATTTTCTTATCCCTTTTATCTACTTTTCCACTTACCATCCTGAGGTCAGTCTTTTTTTACATATGTATATACACACGTGTGTACATGTCTATGGAAGTACAGTATAACTCAATTCCAAAATGAGGGGTTGAAAAAAAAGCATGGCCAAAGAGCAACTACACTCTTGTACTTTTATGGCCTTGGCTAATAATCTTTTGCTTTTCTCAAAATGTGAACTGGGGCTACTTTCTACAGGTAGACAGATTCTTAGAAATGTTTCCCAAGCCCAAATTTGTCTGTTTTTCCAAATGAATAGTTTTCCTTTATATGTATTTTGGCACCATCCATTACATAATTTTCTCTCATCTTATTTTACTTCCAGGAACATATTCTCCAGTGCATTTCTAATGCCTCTTAGAATGTTATCAGCCTTAGTCATTTATAAAACACCAACTGTTACTCAATACTTGGAAATGTGATTGCACTTAACTGCTTGCCAAAACAACAAGTCTTTTGAGGTCGTTTTTTGTTTTTGGTTTCTGGGAAAATGGAATATTGAGATCTGTGATCACTTGCTGAGTACAAACTAGTGGCAGTTGCTTTTCCCAAGTGATCTTATTATATTGAGGATTTGCCTTAGAATAGAATGTTCTATGAAAACTATTATGTTAATAAATATACACATTACATGATTCTCAATGTAGCAGTCAAAATATTATTCTACAATGAAATTCAGATCATGGCATTCCTCTCCTACAATTTCCCTCTTCTTGCTATCCCCCAATGAACTCAGATTAAAAGCCAAAGTCTTTATCTGACTCATTAGGCTGTGACCTCCCTGACCCCCAGCCCATTATTCTTCCTCATTCTCACCTTGCTTCAAGTGTAGAAGCCTCCGTGCTGTTCCCCAAACCTGCCAGGAGCTTCCTCCTTTCATTCTACTTGTTCCTGCCATCTGCAATGCATTCCCCACATGCCCAATGGCTCCTTCATCTCCTTCAATAGTTTGCTGAACAGTCGTTTTCTCAAGGAGGCTTGCCCTGGACATTTACATTTATCTCAACCTATTACCCTATACTATAACATCTGCATCTTCCTGCTATTAATAGAATAGGAGTATTTTGTTCACTGATACACCTCAAGCATTTCACACACCCTGGAACATAATGGAGCTCAATAAATATTTATTTACAACGTGAATGTGCAAAGAACATCATATGGCTTGAAGAACAGGTAACTCACCTGCCAAAAAAATGAAAAGTAACACCACATTTAGAGCTATAAGCACAATGATAATCACGATGCAGCAGTAAAGGTTGGCAGGTGTAACAGGAGATGTAATTGCTAGGCCTTTCTTTTGGAGATCTTTACCTGTAATTACAAATGTCATAATCTCAATCTCATGGAGGTATTAGGAAGAAAAACTCAAATTTATCACAGAATCAACACATAAAGTCAGCTGTACCTCACCTCCCCTATTGCCAAACTCCCTCACAAAAGGTCCGTGTCCAGGAGAGATGGCCACGCCCAAAAGCAACTAGAGGTAAGAGAAACTGAAGCTGTTTTCCCTGGAGAGTCTTCCAGTTATTGGAAGAAGAGCTAATAAGAGAGTAAGAAATGAAAAGAGCAGAAATCAGAAAGAAATAAAAACATACAAACAATTCAGATTTACCTCCATAAATAACAAATTTGGTTAGAAGTTCTGAGAGGACCATTAGAAAATTAATCACTATAATTCGTCATATTAACAGAATAAGAGAAAAGAAATGTACAGAACAGAATTTTGGACTCCATGGGAGAAGGCAAGGGTGGGATGTTTCGAGAGAACAGTATCGAAACATGTATATTATCTAGGGTGAAACAGATCACCAGCCCAGGCTGGATGCATGAGACAAGTGCTCGGGCCTGGTGCACTGGGAAGACCCAGAGGAACCGGGTAGAGAGGGAGGTGGGAAGGGGGATCGGGATGGGGAATACATGTAAATCCATGGCTGATTCATGTCAATGTATGACAAAAACCACTACAGTATTGTAATTAGCCTCCAACTAATAAAAATAAATGAAAAAAAAAGAAAGAAAGAAATGGATATGACCATGTCAATAAGTATGACATAGAATGTGGAAAAACATAACAGTCATCCAAAATAACAAAGCCCAACAAATTATGAACTGAACTTTCACTTTTCATAGAAATAGTGCCGCTAATATGATACTTAATGGTGAAAAAGTGAAGGCCTTCCTCCAAAGATCAGGAACAAGGCAAGGATGCCTGCTCTCACCAATCCAATTTACCATTTTACTAGAGGTTCTATGAGTGCCAATAAGGCAAGAAAAGTAAATAAAGCAAAAGTAAAAAAGGCAAAAAGATTAGAAAGAAGTGAAAGTGCTTCTAGAAGTCATATCCACTCTCCTCCCAGTAGAAATATTAATTTGAAAATTATCTGCACATGAAAATACCTTCCCCAGAGCCAAGGATTCCAGGCACACCCACCCCTGCCTCATCCCAGCTTCTTGCACTCCAGCAATCCCAGCAGACAATGCAGGCTCAGACAGCTTCCACCCCGGGGCTTCCTGTGGGCTCCTAGGAGCCAGGCTCCTGTCTCTCCCCTGCACCTGCCAATTCCAGCAGCTCCAGGTGGGACTCCTGAGACACTTGGCTCCTGATGAACTCCTGGGGTCCAGGCCCCCCAAACCCTTCCTTCAGGACTGGGCAGTCCAGCACAGAGACCCATTCCCCATGGGAAAAGGGGAGTAAAACAGCACCTGCCTTCACTACACATCCCAGATCTGCTTTTCCCATCAGTCTGACTCCTGCAGCCCTGTATGACTCCCTGCAAACTCAGCAACAGAGGCCCCCCTCTCCCCGGTGCCTGCCAGCTCCAGTGAGCCAAGTGACTCCTGTGACACCAGCAGGCTCCTGGGAACTAAGGCCTCCTTTCACTCCAGTGACTGGTGGCTCTAGCAGCCCTAGGCAGCTCCTGTGACTTCCCTGCTGGCTGCCATGAATCAAGAAACCAACATAAGCAGTTGGGAAAAATAATTAAATACATTATATTTATATATATATAAATAGCCACTTTGGAAAATAGCTTGGCAGTTAGGTGTGGTGAACATATCCTTACCATATGCCCTAGCAATGCAAGAATCCCTTGGGGTCTATACAAGAGGAATGAAAACTTCCATTTACACGAAAATATAGACTTGAATATTTATGTTAACTTTATTCATTATTGGGCTTCCCTCGTGACTCAGCTGGTAAAGAATCCGCCTGTAAATGCGGAAGACCTGGACTCGATCCCTGGCTTGGGAAGACCCCCTGGAGAAAGGAAAGGCTACCCACTCCAGTATTCTGGGCTGCAGAATTTCATGGACTGTATAGACCGTGAGGTCACAAAGAGTCTGACACGACTGAGTGGCTTTCACTTTACCTTTTTATTCATCATCACCAAAATTGGCAACAATTCAAATATCCTTCAGCTGATAGAAAGATAAACTAATACCACTTAGTACTAGGAGAAAAGAAAAACTTGACTTCATATTCACAATCGCTCATTTCTTATTTTTCTATGGCTTGTTAAATTTTAGTGAGGCTCGCTCTCCCCCCAAGACCCCCAAACTCTGGTTTGCCTGAAAACGTAAACAAGCTCTAAAAAGAGAAGTGAGATGCATCATAGCTCATGTGTGATCATGAGTTCGTGTCCCCGGCACACAAGTGGCAGCTGCTAACTTCAGGATATCACCTACTCTTTACACTTCATGCTCTCTTTCCCAACAAGGGTCCAACCCACTTCTTGATCTAATTATAAAATAAGAACCTTTTTCAGAGCACTTTTCCTATTGCAGGAGTCCTTGTAAATAATATCCCTCCTTCTTAACACTATGCTATTGATAACACAGTATAATATGGATGAATTTCAAAGGCACAACGCTTAGTGAAAAAAGTCAGACTCCGTTGACATTCTTCCAAAGCAAGAGTATAAGAAAAGATAACAGATCAGTTTTTATCAAAGGATGGACAGAGAGGAAAGCAATGTTTACAAAGGTGTGGATGTGGGCGGAACTGTTCTTTATAATTATTGTGATGTGGCTACACAACTATATGTATTTGTCAAAACTAGAAGTGTACACCAATAGAATGACTTTTATTTTTTTAAGTTTATTTTTAATTGAAGGATAGTTGTTTTATAGTGTTGTGCTGGTTTCTGCTACACAACAGCATGAATCAGCTATAAATATACATAGAGCCCCTCCCTGTTGAGCCTCCTCCCACCCTCCCATCCCACCCCTCTAGATCATCACAGAGCCCTGACTGAAGTAAGCTCCCTGAGCTTCCCACTAGCTATCCATTTTGCAGATGGTAGTGTATATATGTCCATGCTACTCTTTCGGTTTGTCCTACTCACCTTCCCCTGCTATGTCCATAAGTCCATTCTCTATGTCTGCGTCTCCATTCCTGCCCTGCAAATACATTCATTTTTCTAGATTCCATATATATGCATTAATATATGATGCTTGCTTTTTTATTTACTTAAATTAATTGGAGCATAATTACTTTACAATACTGTTATGGCCTCTGCAATACATCAACATGAATTGGCCATAGGCAAACATGCCCCTTCCCTCCTAAGCTCCCCCATCCCCCCTCCCTCCCCACTCCATCCCTCAAGGTTACCACTGAGTACCAGCTTTTGGTTTCCTGTATCATATGTCAAACTCCCACTGGCTATCTATTTTACATATGCTAATGTATATTTTTCAATGCTATTCTATCAAATCATCACACCCTCTCCTTCTCCTACTGTGTCCAAAAGTCTGTTCTCTATGTCAGTGTCTCCTTCGCTGCCCTGCACATAGGCTCATCAGTACTATCTTTCTAGATTTCATACATATGTATTAATATATGATATTAATCTTTCTCTTTCTGACAGTTCACTCTGTGTAACAGGCTCTAGAGGTTCATCCACTTTACTTCTACTGACTCAGATTCATTCCTTTTCATGACTGAGTAATATTTCACTGTATATATGTGCTGCAATTTCTTTATCCATTCATCTGTCAATGAACATCTAGGTTGCTTCCATATCCTGGCTAATCTAAATAATGCTGGAGTGAGCATTGGGGTGCATGTGTCTTTTTGTGATTTTCTCAGGGTATATGCCCAGTAGTGGGATTGCTGGGTGGAATCTTATCTTCTGAATGTCAACTAAAGATCAACATTCATAAATTAGCTACAGAAAAATATGATTTTTTGAAATACCAAATAAAATGAATATTTTTGAAAAAGAAAGAATGAATTTTACTGAATGTCAGTCATATTTTTTAAAAATTTCTGCTGACTTTCTTTAACCACTACATTTCTCTCACTTCACGTGCATCTTTTACAATGATGGTGGGGCGGGGCTCAGTTTAAATGCTAGACAGGGGAAAGAATACAGGATTGGCTTATTTAAATGCTATACAATGACATTTGGATTTGGACTTCATATAAAAATCTCAACCTTCGAGCTTTCTGTCTGTACCTTAAAGCACAACCCTCTTAGAAACTCAATATGTTATGACTTCCATAATTTTTTTCATTGTTAGAAAAGTGAGATGAATATCTCCCCTTATATCTCTCCACTGAATCTCTATTTGCCCCCTTTGGATCTTCTAAAAGTCCCCTCTTTTTCTTCTCTTTTATTTCCTTACTTCTTGCTCCCAACATCCTCCCTTGCTTCATGTTCCACTTTTCTTTCTTGCATATTTACTTCTCTTCTACTTCTTTTGGTAGGGGAATAAAATTTGCCACCTCAGGAATGTCTCCTTGGGATGTAGATTATTCTGGGCTGAAAACCATCAAAGCCCATGAAAAACTCAAGAAGAAACTTTGGTCCTCCGCCTAACTGCCTAAAAGAATTTAGGTAGCATCTGTCCCCAGAATACAGCTGCCACCAGAAATATCTGCAAAGAACAGGGGTTGAGTTTGTGAGGGACATTGAGCAGGGCCTGGAGATCAGAGTTCACTGTGTCCCTAAAGATCACTATCTCTGCACAGCACTGCAAACCTTTACTCACCAAACATTTGGTTTTCCATTTCAATCTCAGTTACCTCCCTTCCCTTTGAAGTCCCAAACTACTACCCCTAACATCTTTCGTGTTTAGCTGGAGATGGCATTTAAGGTGAAGTTTCTAGCCATTTTGGCCAGTTACTCAGTTTTCCTGGGTCTGTCCCACGTAAACATGTTATTCAACTTTTGTTTGATTTTCCCTTGCTACCTGTCTCATGTTAATTTAATTAAGAAGAGCAGAGGAAATTTTCTTCCTCCCTGACACTCTCCTAAGGTGCATTCTCTTTCTGTCTCCCTCTAAATTCATAAGCCTCTTATATTATACTCAACACAAAAACCTTCAAATCGCTAGCTTAAAAAGTGATAATAGGAATTATCTTACAGAAGAACAGAGAAATGAACCATATTACTGGTCTACTGGTTTTAACTTTTAGTTTCATGTCCTAGAAAACTTAGTTAACTTACAGGGACAGTTTAAATTTTCAAAAAAATAGATATCACCTTTGCACTGCTCAAGTAGTTTCACCTACGTGGCTTGCCATTAACACTTGGCAAGAACTTTTGTTTTCATTAAGCATGAATCCTGTGTTTCAGGAACTTAAATATCCCATTGTCCCAGATAAAAGGTAAAGTTCAGGGAGAGGGGAGAATGGAAGAAGAAAGAAGGAAATGCATATTTTTAGCAGAAAATAGAAGCTCAGTAAAAGCTATAAAAAGTATTCTTTCTACTGGACTAAAGAACAAACATGCATAAGCTACGTTCTTTCTCTTTATCATCAAATTTACTATAAACTAAAAATGCTAAAGAATTTGCTGGTGGATAGGTTTAGGTCCAATTCCTACTTTCAAACTCTACATCTGCTTTTAAGCTACCAAAGATTGAAATTTTTAAAAATAGAAATAAATAAATTACAAAGGATCTATACACCAGCAGTCCCAGTTTTTGCAGGTAACTTTTAAAAAATCAATAATTATTCATGATTTTATCAAACAAAGTCTCTTTAAAGAACAATAAGAAATTAATTCTCAGCTCCCAAGTTGCACTAGTAGTAAAGAACCTGCCTTCCAATGCAGGAGACATTAGAGATGTGGGTTTGATCCCTGAGTCCAGAAGATCCCCTGGAGGAGGACATGGCAACCCACTCTAGTATTCTTGCCTTCAGAATCCCATGAACAGCAGAGCCTGGTGTCCTCCTCCAGGGGATTTTCCAGGCAAGAATACTGGAGTGGGTTGCCATTTCCTTCTCCAGGGAATCTTCCCAACCCAGGGATCAAACTTAGGTTTCCCACATTGCAGGCAGACTCTATACTATCTGAGCCACCAGGAAATCCCTTAATTTGACTAAAATGGTTTTGTTTAAGAGATGCTCATGTCGACACAACTGGGATGGGGAATACATGTAAATCCATGGCTAATTCATTTCAATGTATGACAAAAACTACTGTAATGATGCAAAGTAATTAGCCTCCAACTAATAAAAATAAATGGAAAAAAAAATAAAAAAATAAATTGTAAGACTATTAAAAAAAAAAGAGAGAGATGCTCATGTCATTTTTATGATCGCTTCTGAAAATTTCTAGTAAGACACATTATGTAAACTACTTTGGTAATGTATTCTAAATAGGATGATATAAAGCTTAGCTGAAGATGTGCTATAATCAAAAGTCCAGAGAATGAAAAAAGAGAGAGAACACAGAAGTACACCAGAGCCCACGAGACAGAGAGAGACATAAAGCAAGAGAGAGACAGTGCATGCTTATTCAGTCACTTCCGTCGTGTCTGACCTTGTGACCCCATGGTCTATAGACCGTCAGTCTCCACTGTCCATGGGATTCTCCAGGCAAGAATACTGGGGTGGGATGCCATGCCCTCCTCCAGGGGATCTTCCCACCCATTGATCAAACCTGCATCTCCTGAATTGCAGGCAGATTCTTTTTACCCACTGAACAACTTGGGAATGCTGGAGAAAGCCAGAGGGAGAGACAAAGGGAAAGTCCTTTGAACACATAAAGGAGCCTCAACAGATTTCATCTAAAACACTTAATGATATCACTGAAAATCACATTTACCCTTAATTCCAAAAGAAAATTTTTCAGGACAGTTTTGTGCCCAAGGGTAAGAAAATATACTTTTATACTTGTATAGATTTTTTTTTTAACACAAAATTGTGACTTTTACTCATATTTCTTCCAGAAAATGTGACAACTCATTCAAAGCCCTGATCAAAAGTCACTTCACAAGTAAAGCCATCATGAATTCCCTAGGTTTCATTAAATACCTTGTAGTACAAATCACATCAAATTGTAGTAACTCATTTGTCTGTCCCTGAGATGATGAAGCCCTAAAGTCAGGGTCTAAATACAATTTGTCTTTGTAGCTCTGTGTCTAACAAATAACAGATTCCAAATATATTATTATTAGTCTCAAACAGACTACAGAATAGGTGTCATGGTTAATTTTTTTTAACATATACATGTGTTTATTCTTTTTCAAATTCTTTTCCCACTTAGGTTGTTACATAATATTGAGCAGAGTTCCCTGTGCTATATAAGAGGTATGGGTAACTTTTTTTAGTATATGTATTACAAAATTGTTGGTGTCTGTTTGCCATCACCTCTGGAATACGACCATCTATTATTTAACAATATAATGTGAGTTGCCAGAATGCAAGTAGCCAGCAACCTGGAGAAAATACAAAGACTAATTAAAAACAAAACCCAAAGACCATTTTTCTCTTAACCTCCTATAACATAATTCACTGTGCAGTAATATTTAAGTAACATATCCAGAAGCAGGATAACTAATATAACAATTACACACCTTCCCTCTCACCCACCTCTAGAACCTCAAAACATCTCTCCTTCTATGGAGGTTAACTGTGAAGTACTGATAATTCTGAAGCACAATTTCTCCTCTGCTGTCATGGTCAGTAGTATAAGAACTCCCTTCCCCAACTCCTGTTTTGTCAAAGTGTATCAATTTTACCTTACCAGATCTCCACGCCTTCCTGTCCTCTCTACAGGTAGGGCCTGTCTCTAAGATTTTTAAAGACGTCTCTGTCATTTTGGTGGTGCTTTTTCTCGGTAGTTTCAAAGCAGGAAACATGAATTGAAAGGAAATTCTGCTAACATTTGAGCTAAACCAGTCCACCACCCTCCCAGTTCAGACTCCACCTCTCATTGCAAAACAGCATGCTGATAAAACTGAAAGTGAAAAAGCTGGCTTAAAACTCAACATTCAAAAATCTAAGATTATGGTATCCAGTCACATAACTTCATGGCAAATAGATGGGGAAACAATGGAAATGGTGGCAGACTTTATTTTCTTGAGCTCCAAAATCATTGCAGATAGTGACTGCAGCCATGAAATTCAAAGACGCTTGCTCCTTGGAAGAAAAGCTATGACCAACCTAGACAGCATATTAAAAAGCAGAGACATTACTTTGCCAACAAAGGTCCATTTGGTGAAAGCTGTGGTTTTTCCAGTAGTCATATATGGATGTGAGAGTTGGACTATAAAGAAAGCTAAGTGCCAAAGAATTGATGCTTTTGAACTGCAGTGTTCAATAAGACTCTTGAGAGTACCTTGGATGGCAAGGAGATCAAACCAGTCAATACTAAAGGAAATCAGTCCTGAACATTCATTGGAAGGACTGTTGCTGAAGCTACAATGCTGTGGCCACCTGATGTGAAGAACTTAAACTCATTGGAAAGGACCCTGATGATGGATGGGTCTTTTCAGAAGGCAAAAGGAGAAAGGGGTACCAGAGGATAAGATGGTCAGATAGTATCACTGACTCAATGAACATGAATCTGAGCAAACTCTGGAAGATAATGGAGGACAGAGGAGCCTGGTGTGCTATAGTCCTCCAGGTTACAAAGAGTTGGACATGAATTAGCCACTGAACAACATTGTGTCACTATGTCACTGGGTGCAGACCTTCCAAAAATATACATGTTGTTGTTCAGTCACTCAGTCATGCCAACTCTTTGCGACCTCATGGACTGCAACACGCCAGGCTTCCCTGTCCTTCACCATCTCCTGGAGCTTGCTCAAACTCATGTCTATTGAGTCAGTGATGCCATCCAACCATCTCATCCTCTGTCATCCCCTTCTTCTCCTGCCTTCAATCTTTCCCAGCATCAAGGTCTTTTCCAATGACTCAACTCTTCACATTAGGTGGCCATGTTTAGAGTCATCTCTTGTGCTGTTGGAAATGAACATGAGGCAGGAGCTAAATGGACTCCAGGCTCTACAGCTGGACTTTGTCCCCTGTGGACAGATATCCCGAGACAAAGAGGAGGAGGAGCTAAGCCCTGCCCAGATATGAGATAGTACTTTTCTCATGCTCAAGGTCCAGAGGACCTTTCCAAGAATACACCCATAGCAAGGCTCTTTGTAGATCAAAAAGGGAGTAATGTCAACCTGCCCACAGGCCTCTTCACTAGAACCCAACTTGGCCAAGAAATGTGGGTACACACATGGGTGGACACTGATATATACCAAACAAGGACTCAGAATTGGCCAAAGCAAGATGTTTGGCAAAAGGCAACCCATAAGAAAATCTCATAAAAGTGATTCAAAGGACCACAAGGACCTGACACTCTGTGCTTGCCAGTGTGTGCCTATTCACATGTACTCTTTTCCCTCCTAATTAATGTTTCACTTGTTTCACTAGTTTTGGTTTCTCTGTGGAAATTCATTTTCTGGAAATGAATCCTAATGGCCAAGATTCAGCACTCGGCCTGACTTCAATCTCTGGCCAGAAACCAAAGTCCTGTTTCAAGTCCCTGCAGGTTGAGGCCACCCAAGCTCAGACATGTCTTCACAAAAACCTTTGTCTTTCTCTGTTCATGAAAAACAAGCAAAAAAAGCCATTTCCTTCTCCAATGCATGAAAGTGAAAAGTGAACACTGATATATACCAAACATGGACTCAGATTCAGCCAAAGCAAGATGTTTGGCCAAAGAAAACCCAGAAGAAAATCTCATAAAAGTAATTCAAACTACCACAAGGACCTGACACTCTGGGCTTGCCAGTGTGTGCCTATTCACATGTACTTTTTTCTCTCCTAATAAATGTTTCACTTTTTTCACTAATTTTGGTTTTCCTGTGGAAATTCATTTTTCTGGAAATGAATCTTAATGGCCAGGATTCAGCACTCGGCCTGACTTCAATCTCTGGCCAGAAACCAAAGTCCTGTTTCAATTCCCTGTAGGTTGGGGCCATCCAAGTTCAGACATGTCTTCACAAAAACCTTTGCCTTTCTCTGTTCAGGTGAAACAAACAAACAAACAAACAAACAAACAAAAACCAAGGAGACCTTAGCGGTAGCACAGCTTCAAAATAAAAGAAACTTATGTCCCTGAATTTCCATGTGGAAGAAAGCTGCATTCTAACTAGAGCCTCCTGTATTTCACAGCTACATGAGTGATAAGTAAATGTACACTGTGCTATCAATGAAATTTAGGAGGTTATCTATTGCAGCAGCTATGTAGCATATTTAGTTAGAGTGGCAGCCTCATTTTTTCCATATTTTTTGCATTACTAATCACTTCTTATCCAGTCACCATATATCTGCAGACTGTTTACTACTATGGTAGGCGCTGAGAAACAAAAGCTCTGCAAATTCTGATGAAGAGGATGAAGCAGGCACCTGGGTCTTGTGTGGGAGAGGTCTGGATGGATTTTCCAGAATGGGTGAGGCAAGGTTAGTGTCTTCTCTGGTGTCTAGTCAAGAGAGGGACATTTTAAAAGATTACAGTTTATAGTACCACTGAAAATTTGACAGAGCTAAGAGCAATGCCAAACTGAAATTATAATAGAGTGATCATTATAATGAAGTGTTCAGCATACGAAAATGGAGCTGGAAGGCGAGGGTCCGATTTCAGAATTCAAGAACTAGAACTTTGTAAATTTGTATTGTATCACACAAAAGGACAGAGCAACGCCTGCCGATCCCTGTGGCCTCGAGGTACCCGAGAAATCTTGTTGTCTCCCTCAAGATCTCCCTGCCTCCCTTTCCGGTGTCCGTGTAACTAATCCTTGCTTAACACACTTCACTTCTCGTCAACTGAAGTTTTAATGCTTGAGTAACAAGTTCTGTAATGAACCCATGGCTTCTCCCATTTAAAAAAACAAATAAATAAACTTCCTCCTTTTCTTTTAATGTGTCAATCACAACTCGGAGCTTCCTGCATCTGTGTCTCCAAGCTGGGGCTCTAACAATCCAGCCAAAACTGCGTCTTCTTCTCAACCAGGTCTGTGTTTCTGAAATTTCAGTTAATAAAGGCAATATATTATGAAAATGGTGACACATTTAACCTGCATGACACCAGGAAGGGAACTTTTTTTTTTTTTTAACACTCTTATTCTGCCAGAGGGAGCTTAAGGCTCTTCAGACAAAGCTGAAAGACAAGTCTCCCCAAGAACACTGGGACCTTTGTGTTTCTGGAAAGGAGGGGAATTCAGGCCAGTTCCAAAGGCATCTCAACTTTTCATTAAGATACAATCCTGGGAGTGAGGCAGACGGAGACATAAAAAGGGGAAAGACCCTGAATCAGGTCACTAAGAACGCCTGCCGCCTTCTCTCAGCCTTTCAAAGCCCTTAATCCCTAGACCACAGAGCTTACCCTAAGGAATCTCCCAGTCACCCACTAAAATTTTGCAAACTCCTATGAAGAGGGCAGCCTAGGCGCACAGCCATCTGGGGAGAAATCAAGTCAAATTTTTTCAAATCACCCAACCAGGCCACATGTTCACCCCCTATTGAAACAGCCCTGGAGAATTTGCAACCTGCTTGAGACCAAGAAGGCAGTTTCTTCTTTCTCTTCTCCTCTCGGTAGCGGTTCCTCTTTCACTATGACTTTGCTCTGGAGCAGAGATGGCCAAATGGGGAGGCGGTGTCTAAGGGCTGCGACTGCTGCCCTCTCCCAGCGCCTCCAGCTTCCCTGTGGGGCGACCACATCCCTCTCCATCCGCGGCTGTCTCCCACATCCAGGTCTCAACCGTCTGCTACGGTCTAAGCGAGACCCCGGATGCAGGGTTTGGAAAATTAGGCCCACAGAACAGATGGTACTAGATAACCCTCCCTCCCCACCACCCTCCACCTTCCGCACTCACCCTATTGTTATGCCCCACTTTCTGTTTCTCAGGATGTTGAGGCAGAAAAGGAAGTCAGAAAGCTTGTAAACAGGATGCCTGCCGTTGAAGGGCCTTTGGGTCCTTTCCAACCTGCCAAACGCCTGATGGGGACCTGGTGGACTAACAGTGGATCTAAGAGGACAGCCCTCTGCTCAGGCTGTCTTCCCCGCTGGGTCCCTTCCTAGCAGAATAGGAGAAAGTCTGTATAAATCTCCATAGCTTGAGAGTCTCCCTGGCCTAGCAGAGATGGGGATAAGGTGCTGTCTCTTTGAGGTTCAACCTGTGGTAACCAAGACCTCTGAGAATAGAAACCCCCCACCCACACACACAAACCTACTCTAAAAGGCTTAGTTTGTGGCTTCTTAGCACCACTCTTCTCAGGAAATCATACACAGATCAAAACCCCAGGCTATTATGTTCTGAGGCTACAAAATGAGGAAAGGTTATAAAGGCCAAAAACTACAAGGTTATACAAATTGTCAGAAATTAGGATTAGAGTTGGGAAGAAATAAGAATGCTTGTTTAAACAGGAGTTGTTTGGGGTTCAAAATGGTTACACAGTTGCAGGTGTAGAAGGGAGGCACTTTGAAACTATGTTTGCACCTGGCACTGCCTGCAGATACTATTTTGAAAATGTCTGGTGATGGTCTTGAGTTTGATATAATTCAGAAAGTTTAAGTACTCAGTAATGCATATGCAAGTTCTCAGATGCAAGAATGCATCTGAAACTACCTCCATCTAAGGCCATCTGGCTACATTTTGTATGTGTGAACCAGAGTTACTCCATTTTTATTTTTGAAAGATCTTAAATACATCATCAGGCTTCCCTGGTGGCTCTGTGATGAAACCTACCTGACAATGCAGGAGAGGCAGGTTCAATCCCCAGTCCAGGAAGATGCCTTGGTGAAGAAAATGGCAGCCCAGCCCAGTATTCTTGCTGGGGAAATCCCATAGACAGAGGAGCCTGGTGGGCTACAGTCCATGGAGTCACAAAAGAGTTGGATGGGAGGTAGTGACTAAACAGCAACAGCAAATAT